CGGCCACATCTGAACTGCAGGAAACCTTGCAGTCCTTAATTGGCAACACTGCATTTTCGCTCATAAACGCGGATTTTCAGCGACTGGGAACTCAGCCATCGCCGCTGGTTCGTCAGATTCGCGATTTGCTCTCCTGATCTTCTCCAGAGGATAAGATCTCTTCAGCTCTGCCCCACGAGTGGGCGGGACTGGAACCAAGAGCTCAGTAGAAGCAAATCTTACGAAGAGGAGTTGCTCCCACCTAGCTCCTTGCCCTAGCATGCTCATGCTCGTGAGGAGCTTGAAGCGTCTTCGACGAATGGCGAGGAGGCCCTCCCGCGGAGCACTGCACTCATGTTGGCACCGCTTGAATTGCTGCACATGTTCCTCCATGACGAAGCTTTCAGGCTCAAAAGCTAATCAATTAGACTGTGGTTCAACTCCTCGACCATGTATGATCAGACGCCAACTCGACTGGCCATGATGCTGCTCCCGACGATAGCAGCGGTGCACTTTCTGCACCAGAAGTCCCAAGGTGTGGAGATACTCCCCTGGGCCGTGCTCACAGAGCTGCTAGAGAGAGTGAAGGGGCTTGGGCTCATCACTAAGGATGAGATCCTGAACCTTGCCGTGGAGATACTCCCGGAAGGTGGGATTCGACAGGTGCTCACACACCTCCACTCCATCTCGGGCATCGATGAATGGGGACAAATCCGGCACAGACGACGAAGAGCCCTGGTCGAACAGGGGATGCAGTACCTCTCTCTGGTTCGCATCCACGCTGGAGACCTGATTTCCCCAGCAAGCCTCGGTTACCACCGGTACGACTTGGAGATAATGGAACGAGAATCCCATATCACGGGATACATCGCCAAATATCTCCCTGCTGAGTACCAAGAGGCCTATCAAGCTGATGTGCAGACGTTGAGGTCTCAGTTTTTTGCTGAAGACGGCAAACTTAACCTGGCCTCGGCGACGTGGGAGGTATCTTACAATCACCTCATGGCCGCCACTTCCTGAGCCAAGTGAGAAGAGGAGATGCTCCCTAAGCAAGAGCTCCTGTAACAAATAGAGGAGTTTCTCCCTCGTTAGGCGTAGAGCTGGCGGAGTTACTCCCCAGGGGTTTTTGAACTAGTAAAGAGTCACAGGTGGAGCTTCTCCCCTAGTTGGTGGAGCTTCTCCCCCAACGAGGGGTGTACAGCTGGTGGAGTCTCTCCCTAGGGGTTTTTAAAAGCTTTGAGTCGCTGCCTGCAATAATTCTGCCTGCACTGAGCCACACTGAGCCAACAGCAATCCACCATCCGTGATGCAGGTCTCCTCGTGGTGGCCTGGAGCTCAGTGGCCTAGGCCCAGCTGCCTGCTTAGAAGCCAGCTTGAGCCAACAACCGCAGCTTTCTCTCAAGACTCAGCATCATGTCCAGACCTGAGTCAACACAGGATCCCTCGTTTCAAGCGGAGTACGAGGAATTCTGCCAGCGACGGATACGTGAACAACTTCCGCATGTCACGTATCGCAATTTCCTGCGCCAGTGGAGGCGCTCCGCTCGTGCTCACGGCGAAAGCTATCCTGCATATAAAGGAGTCTCTAAAGGTACTGGTGGACAGGAAGAGCTGGGAAGCGGAAAGGGTGGAGTCACTCCCCCTCCTCCTCCTTCCAAGAAAAGAAGTACAGGGCAAAGCGAGGGTGGAGATACTCCCCCAGCAGCAAAGGCCAAGAGTGGAGATCCTCCCTCGGGGGACCCAATCACGGAAGCTGCGATCAAAGTTCTTCAGTCAGCTGGTTATACGCCCTTTCCCAGTCTGATTTCAGACTGTGATGGGAACATCACTGACCTGAACAATCACCGAATTATGGTGACAGTAACTCAGCAGCTGCGAGATGGCCTCAATCAGGCGGAACGACCCTCCCCGGAGATAGCCAATGCTCTCCTGGAGACCTTCCTGGCCTCTCGCCGGGGACTTGCCAATGAGCCTCTGCAGCCGAAGCTTGGATATCCCACAGCTGAGGAGAATGGGTGGTTTCGTTTTGAGTATTCTTCACCGAACATTCTTCCTGCAGGGGACAGCGAGGTTGCGTTCCACGGCACACACCTGGAATGTTTGCATGGGATACTGGCCACAGGCAGGCTACTACCTTCGACACCTGACCTCTCCGGCACGCGAAGCTTCGAGGCACGACCAGGTGTGTATCTCCACAAGATGTCAAACAGGCATCTTGCTGCCGGTTACAGTTGTCTGGTGAGGATAGGACCTCGGCACATATTCGTGCGGCCCATGTTTGAGGTGGAGGCTGCGCACTCTGGATCGCAAAAACGTGGTAAGAAAACAAACCAACTGATATACTCCTATGATGCAGTCAAAATCCGAGCGCTGCTACTGCAAATATCAACCAAGGAGACACTCACCTTAGGTGAGTACCTCCGAGAGTGGAGTGGCTTGTTGGAGATACCACTGAGACAAGCACGGGAATCCTTTTTGGCGTTGGGATACGAACTGCCTGGCGAAGCCTCGTCAAGTGGAGTCAAGGAAGGAGGAGTTGCTCCCCTTCCGGTTTGTGAGCAGGCGTCCAGCTCACAGGGTGGAGTTTCTCCCCCGACCATGGCGTCAGAGATTGACCACAGCTCAACAACGCCACGTAGCTCCACTATAGTGGCCTGGGAGGGCCAACCAGGCGATCTAGGGGACTATTGCACTGCCTCTACGAAGCCGGAGACCAGCTTCTCGTTCGAAGTCTCGAAGGCTCTAGCAGCTTCGCTCCGGCACGGACATAAACCCTACATCAGCGTCACTTCAGCTGGTTGGGCCAAATTAGAGGACGTCCTGAGATGGCCAAGAGTGCAGGCCCAGCACGCCACGGCAGGCGACCTCATGGAGGTCGTTCGGAGTAACGCAAAAGGCAGGTACGAGCTGGGCGATTGCCAAGGCCAGAAGTACATCAGGGCTCTGCAAGGACATTCTCGCTCTGATGTGGACTCCAATGAGGTGTTGGAGGAACTCACGGAGGAGATGCTCCCCAGAATGCTGTATCATGGCACATTCTGGTCCTTGTATGACTCCATACGCCAACGAGGCCTTCTGCCTCAGAACAAGATTTCCAAGGGCCGCGGCAAAGGCGGACGTGGCAGAGAGGGACGACAGCATGTTCACTTCGTCTCGGATCGGGACTATGGGAGACCTGGTGTTTCTGGATTCAGAGATAGCTCGTCGATGCTGGTAGCGGTCGATCCACGCAGAGCCATGCAGGTAGGGGTGCAATTTTTCCGTAGCAAGAACGGCGTCATTCTCACCCCTTCCGAAGTGCCCCCTTCTGTCATAGAGTACTACCAGAGCCTGAAATCAGGTACTAAGTACGGAGGCGACAACAGGCCGCTCTGATCGTGAGGACCCTCACCTAATGGTGGAGTCCCTCCCCACACTGATAATGCAGCTGCTCACGCAAAAATCTATGTTATGAGGCTGAAGGTCACTTCAATTTCATCACCAGACAGCAAGTATACCCCGAGGTCGCATGTGAAGCTCCGTGCGCAGTCGTGGGCCCGGATCTGCAAGTGAGTTGTCAGCCAAAAGTTTTCTGGAAGCTCTACTTGCCTTCTCGTACAGGCTCAACTCACCAGCTGTCTCGACTGTAGAAGCCATGCCTGAAACACCGAAGAAGAGTGGCAGCAGAGCGACCTCCCGAACCCCTCCTCCAGTGCGACGTCGGCCCCACCTATCCAGGTCGCCGCCAGCCAGTGACGCCATTCGGGAGTCCGACTCCGAAGACACAGCAGCCCCTAAAGCAGCCCCTAAAGCAGCTGGGCCTAAGGGCCCGCCGCCTCCGATGCCTGTTAACCTGTCAGGAAGTGGATCTAGCACAGATCGGACACCGGGCCCAGGTAAGGCACCTGGAGTGCCAGTGAAAGGTGGAGTCCCGGGAGGAGTTTCTCCCCTGGGACCACCGCCAAAGGCTGTGACCTCAACGATCTCCCATCCAGGGACAGGAGAGCTTCATGTCACCAGCACAAGTCCGGCAGGAGTTGCTCCGCCATCTACAAATAGCAACAACGGGCTGGAAATGGCGCCTGGCCTGCCTTTACTGAGTGTTTCATTGCCTCACCGCCTCTACTATAACATAGAGCTAGTGGTTCGTACCGAGCCTTCACAGCGAGGCTAGACACTCTCGCGAGACAGCAGTGTGCAAAATGGACGTCGCCAATCAGTCAGCGATACATTGCAAATCAGCCGGTTAACTACTTCATTAGTGCCAGAGTCTGCAGCTCGAGTCACTGAAGACACGTCCGATTCCGACTTCATTGCTTGCAGCCTTGAGGGGCGGAGCGTGTGCGAGTGCTGTGTTAAGGCACGGCTCGTCATGAAGTGACCGCGCAAGTAGCAAGCAGAGCAGCAGGTCGATCCCTCGCAAAGCGTGGACGTTAAGTTTCACCTCAGACAGTATCCTCCCGCTGCGTGTGAATGAAATGTTGGTGTTGTTGTTGTTGTTGTTGTTGTTGTTGTTGTTGTTGTTGTTGTTGTTGTTGTTGTTGTTGTTGTTGTTGTTGTTGTTGTTGTTGTTGTTGTTGTTGTTGTTGTTGTTGTTGTTGTTGTTGTTGTTGTTGTTGTTGTTGTTGTTGTTGTTGTTGTTGTTGTTGTTGTTGTTGTTGTTGTTGTTGTTGTTGTTGTTGTTGTTGTTGTTGTTGTTGTTGTTGTTGTTGTTGTTGTTGTTGTTGTTGTTGTTGTTGTTGTTGTTGTTGTTGTTGTTGTTGTTGTTGTTGTTGTTGTTGTTGTTGTTGTTGTTGTTGTTGTTGTTGTTGTTGTTGTTGTTGTTGTTGTTGTTGTTGTTGTTGTTGTTGTTGTTGTTGTTGTTGTTGAGGACGATGATGATGCTGACGATAACAATGATGCCGCGGTGTTGTTGTCGTTGATGATGTTGATGGTGATGGTGTGACGATGCAGGTGATGATGACGATGATGATGCCGAAGGCCGTTCTTCTTCTTGTGATACTAGTTGGTGGCGAGTACACCGGTCTCTACCTACGCTGAAGGTCATGATGAACATGGGTCCGTCCAACTATCCCTTCAATGAGACCTACGCCACGTTGATCCCCGTTGTGGCCCCAGATGTTTCTAGCAGCTGCGACCCCTCCATCGCACAAACCTGACTTTGCAAGCCGCTGTAAAAAATCCTCTCGATGCTTGAATCTCATCCGGATGCAGGCGAGACGCTGCCCAACACGCATCAAGCTAATCGGCGCTCTCGAATTTACGCAATCGAAATTCCAGAACAACAGCTTGGCTGGTGGCAAACCTGATCTGACGGTAATGACTGGTTCAGACAGTAGCTGAAGCCAGAGGGGCCCTCTGCCAAGGCACTGCTCATCGGGGACTCTGTGGTCATGAAGGTGCCAAATACTGGCGGCCTTGCACATTTCCTGACGATGGAGGTCGCTGGGGCATGGCTTGTTGTGGTCCTCACAGGAGAGACGAATGTCGTGCAGGCTTTCCATTGAGACAGGAGGCGAAGCTAGGCATCAGGCTCCTAAACTTCCTAAACTGCTTTTCAACAAGAGTGTGCGCACAAAAGCTGACAGTTCGCGGCCCTGACATTTGCCAGAAGGATGTGATTGAGCAAAGACTTGGTGTGGGGATCTTGAACGCCAGGCCTATGCCGAGTGCTTCCCTGCCGGTGTAGTGAACTTCGTCTCCGGCCGTGGCCGCGACACGATGCCGCCCGGGGCCCCTGAACGGGTGACTCCTGAGCCGCCCGGAGCCATGATATTCCAGACAAGGCAAGGCAGGGCTCATCTTAACTTTGGCTGTTTGGGGCCTTTTCTTGGAGCAAGACTTCGGTGAGACCTGGAGCAGAAAGCTTTTGCAGCTCGCAAGCACGACTCTGAGGCCCTGCATGGAGTCTGGGCTGGTGGACATCTTCGCCTTCATCGGCTCGTCGAAGGCGGCGGATGCGCTTGTCAAGGCAGGCCGCGGCTGGAGCTGCGTCAGTTTACCGGCTTGTCTGGATGTAGCAGACACGCTGAGGTGTGTGGTAGGCAAGGAGGCATGATGATGCACGCAGGTCCTGTGTGTCTGTGCTCTTCAACAGAGACTCCGGGGGAACTCTGTGCACCCCAAACCGACCTCCTTTCGCTACGTAATGCTATGATTTCTTTACATCGAAGACTGCTCGAAACACCAGGGTGCTGGCGTCCACTGCCAGTACTTTGAAATTCATGAATGGTCGACATTTGTCTGACAAGGCTTCGGAGTTCCGAAGGTCCAAACAGTTAGCATAATTAGTTATCGGATTGTTTGGGTATAGTTACGTTTTGGACTGTCGAAGTGGAGCCACATGCTGAAGTGCAAGGTTGGTGCAGCGAGGAGGCTAGCATATGCGCGTAGATGCACAATGATGGATGAATGGATGTGTGTATATGTGTTATGTGTGTATGTACATATATATATATATGGTACCCCCCCCCCCCCCATGTACCCACGCCTTTCCTCTAAATCCCAGTTTTCGGAAGGCGTGGGTCCGCGGGATCCCCTTCGTCCCCAAGCCTTTCTCCTAAATCTCAGGTTCAGGATGGCGTGGGAGTTTGGGATTGGGGGCAGCGCCTGCAGATTGTACTTTATTATTTCATGTCATTGGCGGGTTCCCTCCAAAATAGCCCCGAATCATCCGAATCATCTCCGAATCATTTTGATTCGGTCCCGGCGCTGGATCCAAGATCCAAGATTGCCCAGAGGTCTTGCGCGGGCAATCTTGGATCCGACCCTCATCCGAATCATTTCCGAATCATTTTGATTCGGGCCCGGATCCAAGATTCAAGATTCAAGATTGCCCAGGGGTCTTGCCAAGGAATCTTGGATCCGACCCTTCATCCGAATCATTTCCGAATCATTTTGATTCGGTCCCGGCGCTGGATCCAAGATCCAAGATTCAAGATTGCCCAGGGGTCTTGCCTGGGCATCTTGGATCCGACACTCACCCATTGGATCCAAGATTCCTTGGCAAGACCCCTGGGCAATCTTGAATCTTGGATCTTGGATCCGGGCCCGCGCCCGAATCAAAATGATTCGGAAATGATTCGGATGATTCGGATGAAGGGTCGGATCCAAGATTCCTTGGCAAGACCCCTGGGCAATCTTGAATCTTGAATCTTGGATCCGGGATTCGGAAATGATTCGGGTGATTCGGTTTCCCTCCTTACTCGGCGTGTGTATTGTCATGGTAGTTATAACATCTGGTTTGTCATGAAGTATGCCAGTCATTATTTAGTCAATACTGTGTTTGTTGCTTCAGGAGATGTAAGTCCAGCACGATTCTGAGTATCGTTTTTATCATTTACACGTTGACGTAATCCTCCATGATCTAGCCCATTGTGCAATGATCTGTCCAATCAACTTCATCGTCATTGCAGTTATCGTACCGTCAACACCAAAATGAACATCTTATGTTCCAGACTTATTTCCCGGCTCCCCTTCGCCTTCTATTGTCATGTTGGTTATATGCAACGTCTGGTCTTTTGTGAAGTATGCCAGTCATTTACGTTACCATACAGCTGTGACTGCCGTGATTCATCCCGTCATTTCTGTTTTACTGTTTGGACATGTAGACAAGCACAGCAATTCCATTCCAGCGGCGTCGTACAACTAGGAAAACTGAAGTTCATATTGATAGAACGGTTAATACGCTTTTGACATGTGCAAAAATGTTGATGAAATTTAGTCGGCCTAACCGGCCTAACCACTAGTTTTATACTTTGACGGATTGGCCGGATTCATTTGTTGGGCACACATATAACATATGTGCTCTTGCGATGTGATTACATATGTTGCTGCATGTTTCGTGAACATCTTCATGAAATCAATCCTTTCATGCTGTATAAGACTAGGCATGAATCTCTGCCTGAAGACGGTACTGTGATAAGACCACTTAATTTATCGTCTTCGTCCGTTACCGTGTACGGAACTAGACGTATCGCCTACTCTTGTCTAGGACTGAAGCCTTGACTCAGGGAAATTTAGTGTTATATGGAAAATGTATTGGCATCGCTTACACTTTTCTAAAGGTACATGTATAACGTGTGTTGCTTCATGCTTGGATGGGGTGTCTCTAGGTGGTGCACCTTCACGTTTGTACGTCTTTAACTGGTGCTTACAGTAAAGAGCACTACCCAGTACAGTCACTGCAAAACTCTGACATGCAGGAGTCTTTATTGGTCATCATGCATTAGGTGCGAAACATGTAAACGACTCTGTAAGAACACACAAGCTCCAGCTCGATAGGATGGGCATGATTCAGATGATGCATCGGCTAAAGATTACCAAGCTCAGAATTTACATGTAAATATTACAGTTCATATCAATACAAGACAGCGACAACAACAAATTTATCTAGTCAGTACCAATTGCAATATAGCTTAACATTTACTTTTACTGGTCGGGCTAGTATGAAGCAGGGTGAACAGTAGCCACGGGACTAGCGTACCTAGGAAAGTTTGTTTTCAGACATACTAATACAGGGGGAAATAAAGAGTGTTAGCTGGGTTATGTACCTAGGAAAGTTTTTATTCAGACATGGTAAGACAGGCGGAAATAAAGAGTGTTAGCTGGGTTGGTATTACTGAAGCAATCAGAACGGTGGGTATAACCATAGTAGTAAAGACACTGGTCACAGGAAGAGCATCATTGGTAAATGTAACAGTGAAACTACACTTGGTGCTGGCATAGAAGAAAATATTAGTACTTTCGTGTACTTTGCATACAACCAAGAACAGTGGAGATTGGAAAGGTTTGTATTGCCACGACGACGATCCCGCACAATTCAAGCGCAAAGCGTGGGTACATGAGGGGGGGGGTAGCATATATATATATATATATATATATATATCTCATTTGTGTATATATATATATGTATATATATATATATATATATATATATAATATGAAAATGATATACACATGTCGTCTACATCGCTCTGTCGTGTACGTACTTCAAAGATAAAACCCATGGGCCCCTTGCATGGGCCCTTAGTTTCTTGTCGTTTCCATGTGGATGAGTAGGGCTCTCAGGCGGGGCACCGCGGGGGGGCACGGATGGGCACGGTTTCTGTAGCACACCTTCGTTTTTAAGGTGTCCAACTAGATCCAGTGTTTCAGGCTTTGCAGACCATTGTTTGTCACCGTGCAGAATCAGGGGCCCACACCTTTGACCTGGTTTCCTTTTTAGTTTAAAGGGATAGGAACTGTGGGCCCCCAATTTTGTCGGGAGCTTCGCCCATATAAGTCAACTGCGGCATCGAGCAACAAAGAGCATGTATGCAGTATATACATGATATGTACATGGTATGTGTGGCCCCAGAAATTAGGGGCCCACGTCAAGGGCCCACGGGCTTTGCCTTAGAGTAATTACGCATGCGTCTTTCCAACGTCATTCCGTCTCTGATTGTCCTCTAAGCGGCAACAATACACAGGACATGTAGATGGATGTTTGTATGCAGGCCAGGTCGATGTCACCTGTCAACAGTGTTGTTTCGCCTTGAAAGTTGTACATCATCCGAAATATCCCATCTCGAGGATCCGTCATGTTGCGTTGTCCAACTCGCTCCCTTGCCCGGGCTCGATCAACTCCCCCCGGGTCCGTCTTTTGATAGGTTCGTTCTTACACATCGGGATGGGGAAGTCTTCTGCATGTTCCCTGGCCTCTTTCACACCAGGCACACCCGCAGCCACATCGCTTGAAAAACCTCCTGTCCCTGGATGCGAAGAACTTGGCCATCGTGCTTCAGCTGCATCGTCAAGATGCTGTTTTTTTTGCAACCCTTGCCTGTTGCGGCACGCCGGATCCTGTCTGCTGCTCAAGCACTAGGGCCAGGACATGTCAGGGCTAGCGGCTACTGTAGGTCTTGGGAGAGCATGCCACCCACAGTGGAATCCTCGTAAAATCTCATGCCCATCCGCCTGACCGTTTCTCTGCTGAGCGGGAGATCTGCCGAAGTTGAGGCTGGGAATGAGTGGCTGATAGATGAAGTGCGGCAGTCTGCCCAGAGCCTGCTGAGCATAAGAGGCAGATTGCGGAGCTCTTCTGGTTCAGTCCTTGACAGGTATATCACAGTGACAGAGGCAGGGTTGCAGAACGGAGACATGTTGATGCTACATGCGGAACCTCTGTCTCTGGCAGCAACCTCGGATACTTTCGCTGCAGTCCTTGGCGATGGATTCCTGGTGAGTTGGGGCAAGGCAGCCGCAGCGTACCGCTGGGAGTTGAAAGATGTGCGGCAGGTTCGGGCCACAACGTTCAGAGAGAAGCTCGAAGGCGGTGCCTTCGCCGCTCTGCTCATGGACGGATCTGTTGTGACTTGGGGGGATGAGGGACGGGGTGGGTGCAGCAATACAGTGCCGAAGAACTTGCGAGACGTGCGGTCTCTTCATGCCAATGACTTTGCTTTCGCTGCAATTCTCAGCAGCGGATCTGTGGCGACGTGGGGCTGCCTTTGGTACGGAGGTGACAGTACTGCAGTAGCAGACGCCCTTGCCGGCGTGCAGACAGTCCATGCCACGGCTAGAGCTTTTGCTGCTCTACTAGCTGATGGGAGCGTAGTGACCTGGGGCGCGGCGGATTCTGGCGGGGACAGCCGGGAAGTCCAGCACCGTCTTCGAAGTGTCCGGCAAATACAAGCGACTCGCCATGCCTTTGCGGCTCTTTTGACCACTGGTTCTGTGGTGACCTGGGGCAACGCGGCCTTTGGTGGTGATAGCAAGGAAGTCCAGGGCCAGCTGAGTCACGTACATCAGGTCGCATCTACGGATTTTGCTTTTGCTGCTTTGCTTGCCGGTGGGTCGGTGGTGACGTGGGGTTCTCCATTCTTTGGTGGTTTCAGCGCTGACATCCAGGAAGAACTAAAGGCAGTGCGAGAGGTGCACTCGAACGACTTTGCTTTTGCAGCTTGTCTTGAGAATGGGTCCATTGTCACCTGGGGGACTCCGTCCAGCGGCGGCAACAGCAGCGCCATACAGGATCAGCTCCAAAATGTGCAGCAGATCAGTGCATCTTCTGGAGCGTTTGCTGCCCTTCTGGTGGATGGATCTGTCGTTACCTGGGGCAACAAGATGGATGGAGGGGACTGCAGTAGGGTGAAAGACAAGTTGAAGCATGTTAAGCAATTGCACGGCGGGCCTCATGCTTTTGCTGCAGTCCTGGGTGATGGATCTTTTGTGACCTGGGGTGACCCTGCCTCTGGTGGTGATAGCAGCTCTGTTCAAGACAAGCTCAAGGCTCCTTCGCTGCCAGGACGCGTCCGGACCGATCCGAGTGACGGCGATGGGGGCCGCTCTAAGTACCTTCGCTCTTCTGCTGCGCCGCATGAAAACACCAGCCCGAACCCAAAACAGCTGTCTCCATGCATCCCTGAGCTGGGGGTTGGTTGAACGGGCAGCTCCAGTGTTTTGGCAGTGAAGCCACAGTCCACGATCCTGAGGTCATGTACAGTCGTTGTAAGATCTAACTACCACATCCTCTGCATGTCCTTTACCATGTCGGTTCCTGGTTATTGCAACCACAGGGAGGCCACACTGAACATGCAAGTGATTGGCAGATGCGTACGCAACGTTGCTTCAACGTTTACTTGAAGCGAGGACTTTGATCCAGGGATGTCAGAAAGCAGCTATGAGATTTACTACCAGACCTCACGGAAACCTTGATTGACTTGGAATAGGAACATCCGCAGATGCCGCTTCCCAGTCTTGACTCCCTGACCTTGCCCTGTAGTCGACCGAGCCTGTGCTGTTTGGATACTGCTCCATCTACTCCGAACACGGTGGCGGGCCTGCCTAGAAACTTGGCTGCTCAGGTGATGCCAGACGCGGACCTTGATCTTGCGGTCAAGGACCAGCGTGTAGTGCACAGGAGTCGCTGAGTTCAAAGGTTACTTACAAAATTCACAACACGCGTAATGCAGGGCCGGCTTCCCGTAATTACTGTACCTCCTTCCTGTGGCCAGGAATGCCTCGCAGGCAGCACATCCTTCAACGGCCAGCGATGCACAGCCATCAAGCTCCGAGCCTGCAAGCATCTCCACTTCCAGTCGGCTGGTCGGGGCTCTGCGTGTCGGAACTTCAGGAACACTTGACATGTGCGACGCTAGAGGTAGCGAGCTTGCTGCGACATTCTCACAGCCGTGAAACAACAGCGAGAGACAGGTGAGCAACATTCTAACCACGGTTGGGAAGCCCTCAACTCATTGTGTGGAGGGACAGGCTTGCAGCCGCAAATCACGAGTCGACCGAGTGTGAGAACCTGGCATCTTGCATGTGAACTGACTCAAGCATCATTCGGAGTTTCCCGGCATGTGCGTGGATGCCTCCCAAAGCCAAGGGCAAAGCTAAGGCCGTCGCCAAGGTAGGGGCGAAGGCGGGCGCCAAGGCAAAGGCAGCCAGAGTCCGCGCGCCAGCGAGGGCACCGCCGGCGCCTGCCCAAAGAGCGATGCATCCGGGAGGAGGCCCGGGAGTGCCTGGGGCAGCGGGGGCCGGGTTCCCAAGGCTCATGCAGCAGTTGCGGAGCCTGATGTCACCGATATCCTACCAGATCAGCTGCCTGCAGAAGCTCGTTCAGGAACCAGGCCCTTTGGCAGATCAGCGGCTTCAAAATCTTCAGGCGATGCTGGCAGACACGAGTTGGATAATGGGGTGGCAGCCGAGAGCTCAGCTCCTCTACCATCTGCGGAAGTTTTCTCCGGCTGCCGAGAATGCCGAAGCCTGGCAGCCGGTCCGTGACGCAGCGATTGCGAGGGTGGAGGCACTCCGCTTTCCTGAAATAGCACCAGATGATGCGGTGTTACTGGAGCTTGTTACTGATGGTTATGGTGCCAGTGTCGCAGCGGCACTTGTGATGCCGAAGAGGGAGTGGCAAGCATTGAAGGCTCGGGTTCTTGCACTGCCAGACGAGTCCATATCGAACGAGAGCCTCGGAGGTCGCACCTCTGACGAGTGCACCACACACCATGCTATGGTCACTGGATTTGCGGAGTATGAGGATCCAGTGCGAGTGTCCGGCTTTCTCAATGCCTTCCCGGACGGAGCATTCGGGACGCCAGAGTTCTTCGGCACTTTCTCCAACCTGGTGCAATGACATGGGCGTCGACGCGTGTCGCACATCAGGGTCCCCCCCTCACCTCCTCCCGGAGACGTCAACCAGGCCGGTGCTTCATGAAGCTCTCTGCAAGCAAGGCTTTGGGGGCATGTCCATGTGGCTCCACATCACGGTGTCGCCTTCGGAAGCCTGGCAAGATGCAGCTGTTGCCGATGACAAAAGGGGCTCATGGGGGGTTTGCCCTTTGAACAGAAGTGGTTATCATGCTGTCCTGAGACACAAAGACCCCATCATCACTGGAACAGCCGATCGTCTGCCATGGCCACTTACAGTGACAAGAAGGGCCTTCAAATCTTCAATTTTTCAACTTCTAATGACTTTCTAGGTTTCTAGAGACCTGGCTCCACCAGACAGGCTAAAACATAAAACCTAAACCCTAGATGATGAGGGCTGATTGTGGGGAACTCCGCTTCCGAGGCTCATCATGCCCCATCGGAGTATCGCCGAGAAGTTCAACCAGAAGTTCTGCGCAGCCATTGCAGGTTGGGGCGTCCAGAGTTTCCAGCAGCTGCCTTCAGTGACAGTGTTCTACTACGGGAGCCGCAGCCTTTGCCTCTAGCTGCTTGAGATCTCGGATGCCAACATGCACGCAGGGACCATGGCATCCTTAACTTGGTCCAATGTTCGCACGAAAATATTTGGAGGGAACGGGGCTGGGCTTTGGAGACTGCTGTTGCTGCGCCAGGTCTGTCAGTGGGCCTTCCCTTCGGAAAGAACAACGTCACTCCGATGGCCACTGGGCTTTGGTACTACAGACAGACGATCATTTGCACAACGGTACTGTAGCGAATCAGTGGTGCCCATGTCAGCGGCGGCTGGAATACCTGCTGCAGAGAGACCACTCACGATGAATCACGATAATATTGGTAGATATTTTCACGTTGATCTTGCCACCTCCACCATCTTCGTGACCAGGATCAATAACATCATCGGAACCATCACCACCACCGCTTCATCCTCATCATCATTCGATCATAATCATCGTGGTCGTACCCCTGAGCAAGACAGCATGCTGCACTGTGAAGACTAGCCTACTCCATCAAGCGCTACGGGAGCTATGACTGACAACTCGAGCAAGCGGGCCAGAGGGAACAGCAATGAAAGGAAAAAGGAGCACGCTGGCCTATCGAAAGGAAAGATACTGTGCCGAACAACTGGGACAATATAATGTCATCGTAGCAACGATTGGACAGTTGTGTCTTGCTTTTGTCGAATGTTTGATCCCTCTTCTGAGAACTTGTTCTGAAGAACTCCTGCATGTGACACAGCTTACCAGTTGCCAGCGGTCTCATCAGGAGCCAACTATGGCCATGATGGATGTAAACATGTCCACCCACCTAGAAACTGTGACCAAGAGAAGTGTTACCTTGTCCACTTCCGCAAAGCCAGTCTTCCTTTTGTCAAGGACCCTGTCTCTATTGTACTGAGTGATCATCGAAGCACTGCAACATCAAGCGTGCCAAAGAGGGATAAAGACAGTTTCGATAAACTGGCAAGAACGGCAACACTCCGGAGATTTGGCTTCCATCATGCGAGGCGTGCACGGGCACGGACTTCCTGAAGCAGTTGACTGAGGATGGACGGGTTTGGGGGTTTAGGGGTGCTGCTCTTGTTGGTAAGATAATGGTGCGCCAGCCTAGTTGCCCAGCAGTGAATCTTAAGTACCGGTAGAAGTCACAAGTCTAGTTCTGTCGCGCTTTGGCATCCTTCCCCACATGAGTCAGAGTTTCACAGTTTCATGTTGGGGACAAACTGGCACTTTTCTGGGCTTTCCAGTTTGTACATAGACTGCTTTGCAATCATGCAGATGCTATCCTTCTAAACGGTGTTTGGCTCGGGTTCTGTGCTTTCCTCGGCCATGCCTGTCTGCGTGGCAGGCCGCGGCAATCAGTTGTACACCGGGTACCAGAATCCTGTAACATGTCAAAAAACATCCATGGACCACTCGAAACTTGAACTTTGAGAGCATTCGTTTGGCTAGGATGCCGTGGCGAAAGGGGCCCACGTGCTGAACGCTGGATCCGGCGGTGCGCACTGCGACCGAACGCTCTTTGCACCGACGGCCCGCCCGACTGTTTTCACCGGGGGATTCACTTGTCTTGCTGTGGGGTTGGATACGGAGCCTGTTGGGGCTGGTTGTACTGTAGTCTGCTGTGCCCAACGTTCGGTCTTCGAGGTGTCCCTAACCAACTTAACGTATTGCACGTGTGTGGTTTGCAGCCTAATCCGGACATTCGGCGGCCTTTCTCAACGTTGAGTGCTAAGTTGGACGGGTTTTCTTATGCCCTAGTGTCGTAGTGTGATGTAAGAGTCAGCAGGTCCTTTACCCTGTGACCGCGGAGATGCAGTTGTGGACGGCCGAACAGTTCGGCCCTGTGATCCCCATTGAATCTTGGCTGCAGACGACAGCCGCATCCCGTCGATGGAGCGCAATGATGTGCAGCTTCGGCGATCCACCGAGGCCCCGTACGACAGCATCCAGGAGCCCATCGAATGGCTTAGAAAGCAAACCGGCAGCAAAAAGCATAGACACAGCGCTGCCCTTCTTCCGTTTTGCACCCTGTGGGTGTGCTGCTTGAGCTGTGTGCCTGTGCTTGGCGGATTCGACATTGCTTCTGTCGCCCCTCGCGGCGCAAGCTTCTGTAATGATCTGATCTGCAACCTGACGTGTCTTGTTCCGGTATGACTGCGGCAAGCATTTTGCGGTGCCATGAAAACGCATGAGTTATATGCAGATCACAGGCCCTCAACATACCAGGACGTCAGGGTATCTTGTTTGAGTCGTTGCAACACAGTCGAGTGTCCACGGCTACTTTCGGGAGCTCAGGATGCATTTTGGCCAGCAGACCGCCATTTTCACCTCGCAGGACGATCCGAAGACTAGGCGGTGTGGAACGCCCTCCCTCAAGGAAACCTTCGATACGTTTGCGCGCCGGAGGACGGGGGCGCCCCGCCCTCTGCCGAGTTCGCAGAGCTCTTGGATGCCGCTGGGCTCCAGATGTAAAAAGTCGAGAACGGGCGTGGGGTAAACCTGCACCATGTGGAGGTTGCTCATGGTCTAAACTTTCTGAGCCTAAGAAACAGATGCAGGTTGCTTGGCTTCCAAGGGAAGGAGTTTGGGAAGATCGAGGGAGTGTGCTTTTCAACCACAGTATCCTCAAGCCTTAAGCCCATGTTCTTCCTCTGAAGCGGTCTCGAGAGCAACAAGTTCAATAGTCCCTTCGATGGAAGCACGGACTGCAGCCGAGCCTGCAAGTAGTCAATTTCGAATCTAGGAGCCTGACCAAGTCTTGTTCCCCAGTAGAGTTCGTATTGCTTTTTAATGTTTAACTTGGTGTTTTTGATTTTAAAGCAGGGTTTCTTAATCAGCTTGCTACCCATTGTCAAGCCTTCTCGAGATTCAGGAGCCAACACTGCATCCCGGAAGCCGAATCCCGCTACCGAGATGTGTGCGCTCTGCACCTGCCGGGTGAACATCAACGCGCAATGCCAGCGCGGGGCCTGGTCGGACATAAGGGCACGTGAACTTCAGTATCTCAGGATTAGTGCAAAAACGCACTTTGGAGTCAATGATGATAAACTGGGCAGCAAGTCTTTCTTGGGAGGTCCTTTGCAACCTTTCTGGACGAGGGGACTACGTTGCAGCGATATGTTTTCCTGCCGATCCACAACACTCACCAGAAGCTAAATCTCATGCCGTGAGGCACATAGTGACATAGCCATAAGAGAGGAAGCTGACACGAGTCTCGCTGTCTTACTTTCATCTTCTTTATTCCCTTGTTGTGTGTCCTAGCGCCTCGCTGTCGCCGCCCTCTTCGTACTTGCCTGCTCTCCAACCTTGACTTGAGATTCGCAAGTGTTTTTCGCGTGGAGGTCCTTGAGGATCCTGCAGGATGCAAATAGGAAGACTCCCGCATCACAAGGGGTTTTCAGAGGGCCGAACTGCGAGTCTTTTCATCCAAATCACCAGGATGAAAGAAATCGCGACCCCTGAGTTACATGGAACACTTCGGGACAACTTGGTAGGGCCAAAGGAGACAGGACAACCTCCAACCTGCCAGGCGTGGACCAGATGTGTATCCCTTTGCCGGCCGCCGCTCTTCTGCCTGGGCCTCAGCTGAGGAGACAGGCTTTGCGTGCGCCCAGAGGGTGCTCCTTGAGTATCCTTGGGAAGGGCTGCAGGGTTCGAGCGCTCTCTCACAGCGCAGGCATCTCGTATCGAGGCCAGGGGTTAAGTTTCAGTTCCGAGCAGCATACATTGGCACACATGTCGCATGCAACGCCCAGCTCAAGGCGATGGGAACCATCTCGGTGGAGGAGGCAAATTGAATTCACGTGACGCCTCGCCATCCTGAGGGCTTTGGTTTTCGGGGGTTCAATGACGACGCTTCAGGATCTCAGAGGCACTTTGGGATGTTTTCAAGGATTCAGCATTCATGCAAGTTGTCGATGCGTGGCCACGGGTACAGCAGCTTCTACTGCATTAGTATAGGCCCACGGCCCATGCGGTATGGTACTGGTACGCGGAATCTACAGGAGACAGGTTCGTTGCGATGAGAGATCCCGGCACGAGCAGGTGCTGCGAGCTGTTAGCGTGGACACCATGATTGCCTGCAAGAATCCAGAGGTCCGGATCGGCAATCCCTTTTCGGTGTTCAAGCTTTAGGGGAAAGGGGTTGCGCACCTTGGGTATGCTGTTCCATTTGGAATTGCTCCACTGGCATTGCTACGTGAATCTAGCGTTATCCCGCAAGCCATTTCCCGCATCTTCTGCACCGGTTTGAAAGTTGTAGCCCCCCGAAATCACGTACCCCGGAATTGCCATGCCAACAACTTTAAATTACAGCCCGAACCATCAGGAGACTGTTCTACATGATGGCTTCCATTTTGCCGTAGGGTACTTCAACGGGGTTGCCACAAAAAAGCTTCTTCTAAGGGGCCCGCCTTCAGAACAAGAATCCGAGTCTCAGTTCGGGCAGGTCCTGAGGCGTGCCACGCAGGGCTCGAGTGTCTTCGCACGCTTTTGAGGCGAGCCTTGACTTGACAAGCTGTACTAAGTTACTAAGCTAGGATGAGCAGCGAGAAGGAATGGGTAGGCATGGTCTTGCATTTCTCAAAGCCCTTGGCGGTAGCAACATTGGGATCATACATACTTATATAACAGATGATGATGTTGCATTTGTCAGGGCAACACAGAAGGGGGCAACACTTTGGAAAGGCAAGACCCGACCCTTCGCCCGAAGTTCGTCGAACCCCGCCGGCGTTCGCCGAACCCTCGCCGAACACCTCCCCTCCTTCGAACCTTTATTATTAAATTCTAATATTATTAATATTAATTAATACTAATAATACTAATAATAACTAATTAATATTCATTTAATTATAATTAATATTAATATTAATATCAATAATACGAATACTAATATAATACTAATAATACTAATACTAATATAATAATACTACTAATAATAACTACTAATACTAATATTAATGCTAATACTAATTTGTTTAATACTAATACTAATAAAATCCTAATACTAATGTTACATAAATTATTATTATACTTAAATTTATTTAAATACTAGTACTTATGATACTGATATTTCAATATAATTTGTAACAACAGAACTAATAATACTAATACACTAATTAAATTAGTAATTAAATATTACTAATACTAGTATTATTAATGATGTATTAAATACAAATATTTATTAAGTCTCATATTAATAATTTTAGTAATATTTATATTCAAAAAATACAAAGGTGAAATTACAATGAATGTGAAAAACTAATAAACTAAAAAGTATTAGCAATAATGTGCATACTTTAACCTTATCACGAATGGCTCATAGTATAATAGATTTGCATTCGAAGCCTGAATGGCTTGTATTCTTAGTCATAGATGAATAATATGGGAACCCTGTCATGAACAATTAACTTGCAGAATACTTGTTAGTGTGCTGTTCAGAGTTACTAATTGATAATCAATGTCCATACAGGCCATTGTCAATAAAGTATATTGTTTGTTAGCTATTTCTTATTATTCAATTTGTGATACTATCGCTAGTGGTAACAATTTAAACAATAATTTTTAAATAACTCATCATCAGCACACTATTTCTCACAGGGGCCTGCCTATCACCGGTACGATCCCAATTCATATTCTAATAGTATCAATAATAAAAAAACTCAGTTTCCTGATTGCTTAATTTGGACGCAGAACATGTGTGTCCTGGATATGCATCTATTTTCTTTGAGTGGTTCTGTATAATAATTAAGCAGCTTTATGAACTTGTGTATGATATGATGTCAACACTAATCAAAACATACTGCCGTATAAGTGATGAATAATTAAATACACACTTTGACTTAGCTAGATTATTCGTGGTTTTGCCTGTTGTAACACTGAATACTGGCTAACAAGAACAATAGTACTATTTTATAATCAGCAGGTTTCAGCAAGATTGAGTACAATAATATCACGATCATCCCTCTGCTTGTAACCAGAAAGAATAAACAACAGTTGAGTCGAAAGAACAAACTTGACAATAGTGTAGCCAGAGGCTTAGGCAATTACATTGTTACTAACTGTTAGCAGCATAAAGAATGTAGTTAATAGCAACAACAAATATGAACACATATAGATACTCACCATCATCATCGTCATCATAATCATGCGTGCTGCTGTGTCTTTTTGTTTTGGGAAGGGGGGAAGGTTCAGTCAGGGCAAGACTTCGGCTTCGCTGCAGTTGGGAGGGTTTGGGGTTTGCGAGTCTTGCAGGGTTTGGCCCGAGTCCATTGTAAGAACCCTATTCCCAAAGACCCGAAAGAAAAGAAACCAACCCCACCATGCAGCCCTCCTGAAGCCGCAAGCCCAGCCCAAGCAAGAGAGCATTCACGTCTTGGACAAGATCATGGTGATGCTGGGAGCCCGGGCAAAGTACTCAGTGAGGGTTTCCGGGTGAGCGCCTAAGGATTCGGGTTAGGAGTTAATGGGCCGACCGTGAGGTCGTGCCCGGGTCTAGGAGTAAGATTTACGCTAGCCGGGTCGACCGGGAGGTCGCGCCCGTTTTTGCAAGACGTCCATCGGACGCCGGCCGTGAGGTCGTAAGAACAGCGGCTGGGAAGCCGAGTCGTAATACGGCAAGAATTAGCAAGACGTCCATTTGGACGCCGGCCGTGAGGTCGTACGAGTAAGAGATAGCAAAGTCACTATATGGAGAGACGGTAGGGAGTAAGGTGTAAGATCAACAGACGTCCATAGGATGCCGACCGGGCGGTCGCAAGATTAGAAAGGAGGGTCAATGCAGAGTAAGATTATTCTTCCAGCAAGCAACTAGTTACGTCGTATTGAACTGATATTATTGGCCATTGGTTGATGGTTGTTGGGTTGAGTAGTCAGTGTTACAGTGTATAATAAGACTGTGATGTGTTTCTTGATGTGGGAATTTCAGGGCAAGACCTAACCCTGCCGAGAGCGTAAGAACCGATGACGAACGCCCCCTGATAAATACGGAGCTTCCGCAAGCTTTGAATGTAAGTCGTAAGTGTAAACCGAACCACCCTCTCCCGCGCAAGATTCCGATTTGCTAGCTGCCCGAAGCCATCAGACTTGAACTCTGCCTGACCTCAGACCCAACTCCGAGCCCTAAACCGGGACCAATCTCCAAACAGGCAAGAACATTTGTAAAAAATGTTAGACATTAGTTAGAGACTTGCCCAAGGCAATCAATCAATATACAAAATTCAAATCAATTAATAATAATATACAAAATTCATGCTAAGTGAATTGCCAGATTGACTACCGAGGCCAGACCTCCGCATGCCTCGTCGTGCCAGATTTCTAGCAGGAGGAGACCCGGGTGGTTTGGTTTTCTGCAGTGGGCTTTTGATCAGATCAATAATCGAATCAGCGGTTGTTGACCATTTGTCAGATTTGGCTTCACGTCAAGGTTGAATTGAGTCAGCAAGAACAGTGCGTCCGCAGTTGACCAGGTTGTCTCAGTCAGACTCAGAAGCATAATTAATTAATTATATTTTTTACAACGTAGAGTGAGTGAAGACGAGTAGACACTGACACGTAGTAGCTCCGCTTCCATGGCTGACCAGTGGCAAGATCAGCAGTGGAATGACCGTGCCACGCGGTGGAATGAGTGGCAAGATGACCAGTGGCGGTGGAATGAGTGGCAAGATGAGCAGTGGCGGTGGAATGAGTGGCAAGATGAGCAGTGGCAAGATCAGCAGTGGAATGACCGTGCCACGCAGTGGAATGAACACCGGCACTGGCCCGAGCAGCAGGGGGGCGACGAGGACCGGAGCAAGAAGAAGAAGAAGAAAAAAAAGGGGGAAGGCGCCGTACTCCGACACACGCTTAAACGGTTTGGCGTGACTTGGCATCTTGATAATAAAACTAACCTTTAAGACTTACTTGTTAAAGATTAGTATTATATTATTCAGTCGTCACATCCATGGCTGGACTCAGGTAGTTGGCACGCAAGAGTTATATTGCAGGCAACGAGCTGCACGGCAAGAGGTCCTCAACAAAGCCAAGGCTCCTCAAGTGGTCGTGGCCAGATGTAAAGCAGAGCCAAGCAGACCACTCGTGGCCAGATGTAAAGCAGAGCCAAGCAGACCAGAGGACAGACCAGAGCCCGTGGAGCCACAATCAACTTCGCCAGCACAGGTGAACATGCCTTCCCAGCCTCTGCCTGAGCCAGAGCCTGCGGCATTGCCCCGCCAGCCAATTGGACCACCCGTCAGCTTTGGCCCCCCAGCAAGGCCGCAGCCAGAACAAGCACTGAAGCCACAAGCAAGTCAAGCCACAGCCGCAGCAAGTCCAAGGAGACCACCTGAGAGCCTTTTAAACCCAAGGCATTCAGCAAGACCAGAAATGCCAATGCCACGAGCAAGTCCAGCCACAGCCGCAGCAAGCCCACCACCAGCAGGGCTGCAGCACCAAGCCCAAGCCCCGCTAACTCCGCGGCCAAAAGGACGGCCAATGCAAATAACTGAGCCAGCACAGCAACAGCAAGAGCAGCAGGTCCAACAAGCCCCGCCAACTCCTCAGACTCCCCCCCCCTCCTCGCAGCGGCCGCAGCAAGTGGCACAGCCACGGCAACAGCAACCAGCCCCACAAACTTCAGCTGCACAAACTCAGCAAGGGCTTCTAGCAGCACCGCCGCAGGTCCCAGAAATGCCGCCACCGCGGTGGCAGCCGTTGCGACAGCAGCTGCAGCAGGGAGCCCCGCCGCAGCAAGAGCAGCCGGCACCCGTGAGCCAGCCGCCACTCAACCGTCAGCAACAGCCGCTACAGCAGAGAACATCACAGCAAGAGCAGCCCGCGCCCGTGAACCAGCCGCTCAACCCTCGGCAAGAGCCGCTGCAGCAGAGAGCCCCGCCGCAGCAAGAGCAGCAGCCGCTCAACCCTCAGCAACAGCCACTGCAGCAGAGAGCCCTGCAGCAAGAACAGCAGAGAACATCGCAGCAAGAGCCCGCACGCGTGAACCAGCCGCTCAACCCTCGGCAAGAGCCGCTGCAGCAGAGAGCCCCGCCGCAGCAACAGCAGCAGCCGCTCAACCCTCGGCAACAGCCGCTGCAGCACAGAGCAAGACCGCAGCAAGAGCCAGCGCCCGTGAGCCAGCCTCTGAACCCGTTGAACGTGCCATTCGGCTTTCCGATGCCGCCGCTGGCGAATCCGTTGCTGCCGCCGCCACCGCTGCCGTTGCCGGTTGTTCAAGGGCAAGAAGTGGTTGAGCAGATGGCTTCGCTGCTCAAGGTTACGACAGCAATGCTGCTACTCAACCGCAATTTGCATGTGTGTGATGGTTCGGTATGTGTAATTTCAATCAGTAGCATCATGGAGTGGTAGTAGTAGGACTAGTACTAGTACTAGCACTAGTAGTAGATTTAGTTAGTTGTTGTTGTAGTTGTAGTTAAAGTAGCAGTAGCAGTAGCAGTAGTAGCTTTAAGTAGCAGTAGTAGTAGTAGTAGTAGTAGTAGTAGTAGTAGTAGTAGTAGTAGTAGT